GGAAAGTGGGGCTTTTCTGAGGGCATGGGTTTGACTGAACAGAGACAGGTGAGCCAGACCTGGGGCACAGAACTAGCCAATCAGAGATAGGCTTTTCTCCACCCAGCCAGACCAGAGGTGTGGGTCTGACTAAGCAGGGAACCCTGACTTCCCTGCTTATGGCGAGGCACTCTGAGGTTCCCCAAAATGCCCCTGTGTAAGCAGGGGAAGTGGACAAATGCTCTAGGGACTTGAGCACCCCTCAAATGTCCAAAGCACTTGCCTCGAGTGGCAGAAGAGTGCTTGTATTCTTCCACCACAGAGCTCATAGGTATCTGCTGCAATAAAGCAGCAGAGCCTATTACCACCTTTTGTCATCCAACTGATTTTCCTTTTGGATGGTGCAACAAGGGGTAGCAACACTGGAACTCATTGCCACTGGATGTTGTGAAAGCTGACAGTTTAGACAGATTCAAAAAGGGACTGGACAACTTCTTGGAGGAAAGCTGTATCTGTAGCTTTTGAGCATGGTAGTTAGGGGCTCTGCTTAGGGATTTAAGTGTTTTGAATCAAACTTCCTAGACTTAAATACTGCAGGCTACAAAGGAGAAAGGAATGATGAGAAAAACCCTGGTCATACCCTGTTCACTCTCCCTCTCAGCATCCACTCTCTGCCACTGTGTAACACGGGCCTATTTGATGCACAAGGAGCCACGAGTATGAGTCCAGCAAGAACCTGCTAGCTCCCCCTGTTATTAGAGGGGGTCATTAATTGTGCATCAGCTGATGCCAGGGGACAGGGTAGGTGCTTCCTAAAGCTGTCTAGCTTCAACCCTGGCTACAAATTAGCTTGTACCAGTTTAGCGACACTGATCATCTACAGCAGTGACAATCTGCCTTCTAGACTTAGCAAGCTGAATCACATAGGTAGGTTCAGCCTGTGGGCCACATCCAGCATACAGTTGACGCACTGGATCCAGCAACGAAGTGACCCCGCATGTGCCAGATTGCTGGAGCTGGCTGCAGAGTGACCCCCATGTGTTCCAGCTCTGTACAGGCCATACATATAGGTGGGAGAGATGCTGGACAGACTTGTTGAGCACTGAACACCATTGTTCAAGTCTGGGAACAAAAGCAGATGCCACCTAGGCTAAGGAAGCACATAAAATGATGGCTTTCTTTTCCTGGGTTCTTAGCAGGCTGCCACCTCAGAGACCAACTCCTTCAGAGGGGCATAAGCTTTCCCAAGAAACAGCTTACTTCACCTCCTCCAGTTGGCTCCTGTAGGATTCAAGCAAGGCTGGAAGGTGCAAGATGGACCTCTGCTTTGCCCCAGCTAACGGCCCTTCTTCAGGCCCACACCAAAGAAAGGGCTGGCAGCATTCAAGGGAGTCTGAGGCATTTTACATTTTGTAAAAGCAGGACATTGGCTGCCCTGCTTTACCTGTGGCAGGTTAGGGTGTTAGGTCTGTGTTGTGTCAGGGTTGAGGGTATATCTTAGGTAGAGTTTAGATGATGACTATACGGGATGGTTTGATAGGAATGATCCTGCCTGAGGCAGGGAGCTGGACTAGATGACCTCTGGAAGTCCCGTCCAGCCTGATTTCTCTATGACTCAATAACTCCTTCAGAGGGGCAAAAGCTTTCCTAAGAAACAGCCTACTTCACCTCCTTCAACTGGCTGAGGACCTTTCACAGAATCCACACAGGGGCAAGATGGACCTATGCTCTACCCCAGCTAGTAGCCCTTCTTCAGGGCTGCACCAAGGAGAGGACAGGTGGCATCTGCTGCCAGCCTGGGGGTGATCAGGGTCTGAGGACGAGGCTGAAGTTGGTTCCTTATTTCCAGGTCTTTATTCCTGGTTCCTGGTTCCTTTCTAAAAGCTAATCTGGACACAACTCAAGGTTGTGAGTCATTCAGAAGCAGCCCCTGGTGGGGGAGACGTGTGGTTCGGGGTGGCCTGAAAAGGATTTTGTCTCATAATCCCAGCTTCATCTAAGGTGTATTCAGGGCTGCGTACTTGTCATGTCAGCCCCGATGTTGCTGCAACCATTGGGCTATCTCAGATGCTGTAACAACCCTTCTCCACTCTGCCCTGTGTGTGGACGTAGTCATGGTAGGCCCAGGCCTCGACTGATGAGGTCAGCTGAGTTGCTTTGCATCATTAGTAATTCTTCAGTCAATGACCTGGTGGTGCCCATCTTCTCTCCAGGTACGAATGGGCATTGGCTCACAGGGAGCTCATCCGCCCTTTGACAGGTCTTATTTTTAGTCCTGCTGGGTGTCCACACACCCTCCTCCTCACCCAGGCTAGCCCAAGTGTGGGCACCAGTTTAGTCGCTGATGACCTGACCACGGAACAGGCTGTACTGGTTTACATGGTACCAGAGAGCCAGCCAAGAGAGGCCTGGCCTGACAGGAGCAGTATACTTGATGCATGATATTATTTGACATCTGTATTGGCAAAGCGACATTGCTGGTGACAGTCTAACTGTTCAGCCTGTCTCACTCTTACATTACTCCCAGCCCTGAACTGCGTGCAGATTAGCTGTCCAGAACAGCATTGCCAGGTCTTAATATGAAATGATTGTCTTGGAAGCTCAAAATTATCGTATCAATTGAACACTAGAAAAATATGCAAATAAGTAAGCAAATAAGTCTTCTTATTTACTTTATATTGCGCACTGTAATCAGCAGTGGGTGAGTGAAAACTGGGTCAAAGTTGAAGCAATTCTTTATTTTGAGGCAAGCAGTTATAAGAAAGCATTGACGACACACCCAGAGAGTCAGTTAAGACTCCTTGAGTGTGTAGACACATGCCATTTATGTGCCTTAAAAATGGTAGTTTTAGACTAAGCCCACTTAAAAGAGGCATGTGTAACAGCACCCCCTGAGAATAACTTGGGTTTTGCTTACACTGCATTAATCAGCTGCCTCGAAAATCATTGTACATTTTGGGAGTATCAGTTGTAGCTGTGTTACAGGGACGAGGTATTGGCTGTAGCTGTGTTAGAAGGGCACAGGCAGATGAGTTCTATGGGTAAATCTGATATCTTTTAGTAGGCCAACTACAATAGTTGGGAACATTCTTCTTTACACATGTTCAGGTACCCAAAAATTGTTTGATAAGTTGAGGTCAATTCTGTCAGTGCTTTTCTTTTGCTTATAGAGTAACTGAAGTCTACTTATTTCGGAATTAGGACTGTTTTAAAGTGCCTACTAAGGTTTTATGGGTCATGTTTTCCCAAACATGAGATTTGTGAAAGCATGACCCATCACCCAAGTGCTTGTGCCTGAAAGCGTGCAAAGAAGCACATTCCCAACTACTATGGTGGGTCTAATGTAAGATGTCAGATTTACCCAAAGAACCAAGTCTGCCTATCATACGTTCTGAGCAGTTTACTATTCTTGATCATACAAGGGGGTCTTCTCTTCCTGTACATTGTAAGGGTTCAATGTACAGGAAGGGTTCCTGTACGTTGTAAATTGCAAGGGTTCTCATCTGTGAAATATGAAACTCACAACCAGAAGGACATATGCTTCTACATCCTGCTTGCCACCAGACAACTTCGAGGGAAAAAGGCTTTTTTTTTTTTAACCTTTCTCTGTGCCTACAAAAATGACCTATTCCAATAAATAAATAAACAAATAAATAAAAATAGAGCAGTTTTCTATTCCAAAGAACTCAGAAAAAAACCACAATTATGGACTGCTGTTTGCAACTCTGGGTTTATCTTGCGGCTCACGTTTGCACACCTAACAGCCTTCACATTGCGTGGGACCCCGCCGCACCTTTGGAGAGCTCATGAGGGAACCTAAGGTGCTGTGGCAACTCGGTTGAGAATCGCTGCTTTGTTCATGAGCACATGAACAACAGGACCCGCACCTGCAGCTCTCCTGCCAAACACGAACGTGCATTTCC